TCAAACAGTGGACACCAGATTAAGTTCCCGAAGCTTTCCCTTCAGGTTTTCATCCATTTCTGCGAGCTCCGGAGTCTTTTCTTTTGCCGTTTTTTGTAAGCTGCTTGACTTCACAATCAAGGTGATGTCACTTGTGGCCCGCTGAGCGTAGTTGTCGGCGCGGGCTGTTAAATTGGCAATTGTTGCTTCCAGCCTCTTCTTTTTCGTCTTGATACCACGCACCTCTTCTTCAATGTGACTTCTCTTTGATGCCTTTGTCTGCTCGATCACTTGTTTTTTTCTCTCCTCCAAGTAGGCCCGATAGCGGTTGTGTGCGGCTGAGACAGATGTACGAAACTCCTTCATTGTTTCAATGTTCAGGATGCCGCCAGCCTTGCTTACTGCATCGCAAACGATTCGCTGTGTACACATACGAGATCTCCTTCAGGTTTTTGACAGAGACCTGACGGTTGACGCTGAAGCCTCTTTCAACTGCTCGTGGTCGTGGCTCAAGACGAGAAGAAGTTGGACAATTTTCCACAACTGCACATAGTATGAGTCGACCTTCAATAGCTCAAGGTGGAACTTGTCTAGGCTAAAAGAGTGTTTATCAAACTGCCGCAGGTTGTGTTTCTTCTCTTCCAGAAGTTCTGTGTATTCGCCAAGGACAGAATCACGCTCATGCTCACCCAATCGTCTAACTGCAATGAGCACGTCAAAGACTATCCTGAAACCTGCAAGGCACTCAACCGGCTTTGAGACCATTTGACGGGGGTCGAGTGAGGACAGACTCCTAACTAGATGGTATGTCAGCGGGCTCTTTTCCAGAATTTTCTTGGTTGTACTTATAACGAACTGTTTGCATTCCATCCTAAAAGCAAGTATATTTTTGGTGCACACCTTTGCAGGTTTGAGTGCTTGTTCAGCAGCATGCCCAATGTCAACTTTCTCTAAGGATACATGGTTATTTGGGTTTACAAGGTTCATTTTGAGTATGCTGACAATTCCCGTGGAAGAGGACAGCACCGAGCTCTTCACGAATCTCACGAGACATTCGAGCTCTCTTTTCAGTAAGAACATCAGTGGTTTGTCCAGTTGGTATTCCGTGAGGAATGGTTTTAGAATCATTGCGATGCCGAGAGCAAACATCAGTTTGGCCAACAGCAGTGCGTCCTGGCAAAAGACACCGAGCTGTGTAAATGACGCACACTTAGGCAAGTTCACCTCTTTCTTTTTTGCACTTTCCACATACCTTTTCACGTCACCCCACAGTGCAATGGCACGTTCGATCACAGGAACATTTTCTGCCCAGCGATGAACAGCAAATTTTAGGGGAACTGTCGTTTGGCCTGTCACAGCAGAGAAGTCTTCCCTTCGGGCTGGCGCATCATGAAAAATGGCATTGAGGCTTGAAAGAAGATTCTCTAGGCCCCACTTGCTGGCAACAAGACCCGCCCCGTAAAGGGATACTTCAACGAAATTGGAAATATTCCCGTCATGTTCAAAAATAGGCTGAATATGATCCACAATATCCGTAAAAGACAATCACACATTTGTATTTTGAGCCTGGTGGCTATATTTTTCGTTATAAATGGCCCACTCTGGCAAGAGCTCGGAGAAGGCCCAGCGGAGACCATGTGACACCTAACGCAATCGTGACGTTGGTCATCTTGGGACGAGCAAAGCTACGGCCAGGCTGACGTCGAGAGGATGGCCTAGTCGTTGCAGCCACCGAAGCGGTTGCTTTTGTACGAATTTTGAGTGACGGGTAAATCTTCTATAATCTTATAGGGGGACAATAGCGACTTCTGCGACACACAAAAGGCATTCTCGGGAAGAGGGAAGTTCCTCCTTCCCCCACTTCTTTCGTTGTGGCTGGAGGTGCGACAACCTCCGTCACTAGCTGTCAAGGTTCCTAGACGTGCATTACAAATGAGGCATCAGCGACATCCACCAGGTGCTCTTTGCTAATCATTTAATTCAATTTAAAATTCCTTTTCGTGACTTTTTTAACAAGATACTGGTATGTTCGCTGTCATACTGCTCCTTTGAACACATATAGACCATAAAATAAGCACCGAAATTTTGTTGTAGTATCCCTGTATGTATTGTATGCAGTCCGCAAGTTCCCAGGTCCAAACACTGGACTGGATGGTACCGCTGCAGGTATTCCTGCATTCCCCTAAAACACTTTAGGTTTACGTTGGGGCCATCCATGGACAGATGGACAGCTTTCGCCAACGGCAAATCGGCCAAGGCAGCCAGAAGCTTCTTCTGAAGGTATTCGGCAGTCAAATGTCCCATGAACACCGACGTGTAATATCTCGTGGTTACACGCTCGGGCATTGTGCTCCAGGACCGCAAATATATGTCCATCTGTTATCTCTGCAGGCAGTCGTTGAAAGACTCATCAAACAGAACGGTATAACCATCAGACTGCTCTAATTCGCGTTGTAGACACGAGAGAAAAAACGGTTTCAGACCATGGCACACCACGTATGCAGATTTCTTTTCGCCGCAGGAAAATGCCTCAGCGATTTAGCTATCCGGGAACATTTTCTTGAACAATTCCCCTGCATGTGATGACGAGTTGTAGGAATAGTGCGATGTAACCATTTTCAGGATCCACAGTATCTCCGCGTCAGTCAAACCCTTGTGCGCTTTGCACAGGCTGCTCACATCCGACGACGTCGATGGAGCTGGCTCGACGCGTTGCTCATGAACTGTTGTCGTCAAGTAGCTCCGCACGGTACAATGCGCCGTAGTCGCTTTCATATTCTCCATGTGTTTTGAGCTCTTCATGCGACTTTTAAGGGCTGACTCCCCCATTGATGACACGTCAAATGTTTTCCCACGTGGTTTGCACTTTGCCCAATGCAAGATCGACGTATCCGGAGAAATCCACTCCTTATAAGCACCACTGCTTAACCACGACTGTTGGAAATTGCACTTTCCAGGCATATTGAGGCTGCAAAAGACGCGACTTTGATTATACGTGCACCATATTCCCGAACCGAAGGTAGGCTTAGCTTTTGTTGTTGCTGCCGCTGGCCGTACTGCGTTGCAGCTACAGAAGTGGATTGGATGGATGCCTAGGTGGCTCAAGTACGTAGTTGCCAGGCGTTTAAAAGGCATCCGCTAAAAACCAGCTGAACGAAAGTCTATTGACAAAATTCAAGGAAATTTAAAGACCTAAAAAAATGTAAAGGTTTTCAAGGCCTTGAAAATGCTATTTTAAAATTCCAGGGTTTTCAAGGGTCTCAAGGACTGCTACGAACCCTGCTACCGTTGACTCGGAGTCACTCAATTGTCACTTCGGTATTGCATCATGCAAGGAACTGAAAAATGTGTTGGCTTTCAAGGCGAAGTGTTATGAGGAAAGTAATGGTGATCAGTTTTGATACTAACCCAACTATCCACCTTGTGTGTGGCTTTTGAGCTCCGTTTATGAGGCCAGGCCACTAAAAACGGCTGATTTCGCTCTCCTTGAGCACCTAAGTTATTCAAGCCTATTGCATTCTCTCACTTCGCCGTCCTGTGTACTGCGCGAGTGCACGGGGCATCGCCGTACCAAGGGGCATCTAAACAAACTATGGATGGCGTGAAATCCGGGTTGTCTTGATATCGCAAAGCCTTGCCTGCACCGTCAAAAAGTAAGGAATGGTATGTTATAAAGAATCTCTCTTTAAATTCAGCATGTCTACAAACCTTTGATGAAGTGGGCTCCACAAACAGGAGAGTTCACAGTTGGTTGGCAAGATGTACCGTCAGGGTTCCGTCGCCGTAGGGCTTAAATTAATAACTGATAATTTCTGTGTCACAACATCGCAAGACGCAAATGTCTATGGCACACGCCTCAAGAACGGAAAGCTTTATCCAGTTATTTTTAGCTTTAGTACCGGGTACGGCATGATTACGTTACACAACCTCATGTGCAGGCTTACTGTCTTTACGTTAAACACAGATGTCCCACCGTCACATTGCGGAGCTGGCTACCTGACACGGGGGATTCGCGTAACAGGTTTCTAATCGGGGATTTTGAAAGTGGGGAAAAAAGGGCAAGATGTTTGACACTGGGTGCTTTCGTTTACCACCTGCAAAAGGCTGCTGAAACTGAATAAAATCTTGCATTCAAACCATTTTTGCTGCTATATGTGTAACTAAGCAGCTGCACAGCAGTAAGGCATGACCACTATGAAGCCAAGCCGCGAGAATAGCAGAGGTAGTCAAGCCAACCAGCACTGTCCAAGCGACTGAGCAGATGAGAGCCCCCCCAAAAATGGCAGCTAGGTTTTGGTAGACACTGGCTCATCGAAAATTTTAGTTTTTCTTTTGTATATTTAGGGCCAGGCAATGTTATGGGCTAAATCGCATTTTGTCATCCAAGCTAGCATCTTACTGTCAAGGAGTTTCAGCTTTCTACAATACATAACTAATGTATGCAGGCCTAAAGCCTGTTTCATTTTCTCGGTCTCAGCTTGTACTTTACGCAGCCTAAACATGATATATCAATTCACTCGCTACTGCTGTATGTTTTGTTTATTTTTGTTTTTGAAAACTTTTGAGTGCAAGCTAGGCACTGCAGCTACATATAGCTTGCATGTGACGTCATTCGCGGCCATGGTAGTATTCTATTGCCCCGAGCGTTCGGTTCGCAGTGTTACTTTCACACCGCAAAAGCTATATTACGAAGAAACCAGTAGGTAGAAATAACCGCCAGTAACCAGTAATGGCGACGCTTGCAAGCTAGGTATTACATATCAACCGTAAATTCAACAAATAATTTCGCGCAATCAAATTTAAAAAAAAAAAGTTTACCCGCCAAGCGTGGACACAAGGCGCCCAGCTAATTGATTTAATTAACTGATTAATGGGTACATCCACGGCAAGCCCGTACTCAACAAACCGACGACACGTTCTCGATACGCTGCGACTCGCCAAAAGCACGATTCACGACCCAGAGCGTCGCTGCACCGTAGCTCCGCTAAGCTCCCGCACCAGGTACCGTAAAGAGGACGCACCTTTTCAGGCGCTCTCTGGCGTCGGTGTCACTCCACTGCGAGAGCAGCAGGTCCATCCGTTCCCTGGCACCCCGCACTGTGAACTCTTTCAGCGTCTCTTTCCTCAGGGTATGCACAACGTTCATCCAGCGGTCGGGATCCTCGAACGGGTTGTGCTTGATCACTTCGCGCAGGAGCACAAAGTCGTCCTGGAGGTGGAAACGCTTCCTCGTCATCGCCATGTTTTTGCGGAAGCGGCGGGCTTCCGACCGATCGCTTGGCGCCACCGTGGTTGCACGATCGATCGGCGCCGCTTGGGTAGCGCCCGTCGTCGCGTTAGACCACATACGGGACTCGTGCGATCGATTCCTTCTCGGTCGATGGCTGCCGAATGGTGCGAAGTCCGGAAACGCTCGTAGTATGCGGCCAGGGTTGTCGTGAAGCGCGCCAAGGATATCGTGGGTTAGAGAGGAGAGGCCCAGAGTACACCATACCAGGGAGGCTAACGTTTCGAGCTGGAATCGGCAAGCACCCCGACAAACGATAAAGAATAGCGCGAGCTGCAGCTCCTACTGCGCACGACCACGATACGCGGAGCGGAAAACAACGTAAACAGCAGACACCGAAAACTGCCGAACGAACCGAACGGGATTCCAAGAACGCGAGCGGACACCGTGGCGCCATCGCGTGGAGGGCAGTGCGACTAGAAAGAACGAGACCAATGTTGCCACGCCAGGTAGTGACTTGCCCCTGACTGGAGGCCCCAGGGATCTGGAGGGCAACGAGCTTGCTGGAGGGCCACATATGGCCTCAGACTTAGGGTGACCACCTTCCTGCAATCGAAATGCGGGACAGCGGGGCAGGGGGGGGGGGGGGGGGGGGGGGGGGGGGGATCGGGTTATCGGATCGGGCTGGAACTTTGGCATCTGGTTGTGACCTCTAGCTCTACCTTTGGGCGGAGAATGCGCGTTCAGCGATGCCTAGTTTATTTTTGCGGTAAAAAAGACCGTGTAAATTTTCTTTTGTGACACCCTGTATATTATATTTAAAATTTTGGCGAGCAATTTTTCTTAGAATATTTTGCCACCAAGGGGAGAGGCGCAACAGAGCAAGCGCGTCGGTTCTACTGCAAGAACAACGGTCGCTTCCCGCAATGCTTGGATAGAAAATGGCGTACCCATGCGATTCACACGATTACCAGTGACCTCCGCGCTTTCCCGTGCCCCGTTGTTCGGCAGCACCATGAGTTGCAGTGTGAATTTTACTACAGTATGAAGTGCGGGACATTTTGAAGATTTGAAAATTTCTTGCGGGACGCGGGACTCGAGCCCTCAATGCGGGACAGTCCCGCGAGTCGCGGAACGGGTGGTCACCCTACTCAAACTCCGAGTTCCCGAAGCGCGCGAATGCGCGCTTCGGGATTTCGGTTCAACTGGCGCTAGTGTGCTGCTGCAAATTGAAGCAGGCAGCAACCAGTCGAAAACTGACTTCCGGTAATGCATTTCTATGGGGAAAAGTGAGTGCATTTTCTTTTTGTGCACGATTATAAGAGGCTGAGCAAACATACATTCCTAACTCAGGCAGGCGAAATAATTGGCCAGTTACGACGCTTTTCTTTCAAATGAATTGCATTAGAAACGGTGCTAAGACGGCTTCGTATATGTATTTATGTGCACTGTCGGCCACCGTTAGCGTGAACACGACGTCGGCACTTTTCAACTAAGACGACAAAAACTACGCAGTAACACTGGATCAGTAACTCCCTCCGTACGTACGATCAAAATAAAATGAGGGCCACGCAACACAGTCATATTTTCAATATGTACTGCTTTATTCTTTCTGGTCTGTGCAAATATTCTTCTTCTAGGTTCAGAACTTCACCCGCAAGCTCGAAATCTTCGATGACAAGTGCCCGATAAAGACTACCCGGCAGAGGAAATATTAGAAAGAGACGCCTTTCATATCTCACATACTTTGTTCTTTACGCTTTGAATGTTTTTAACCGCTCCTAAAGATAAAAGAAGGGGTCATTTTCATATAGTGCCAAGCATATTATCAATATACCCAGGTAGCACAAAACATTATAATAACATTAATTTTTTGTTGTGTAAGTTGAAATAACGTTTTGTGTGAGGTGTAAATGTTGCAGCAACGTTCAAATACAACGCACAACGTTTTAGGTATGTTTGCAATGTTAGTGTAACGTTCAAATTAAACATACAACAATATGGTTGTGTACAAAATGTTATAACAACATTCAATATATTACTGTAAAGCAATGTTATGAGCACTAACATTCAAGCAACATTTAGTAACATTATGCTGCTAACATTATTTTGAAGTTTACAATTAAACACCACGTACAGTAACAATTTATTGGTATAATGCTTTCAACAGAGTAACATTTTTGCAAATGTTGTAAGATAATATAGTACACTATTTCAGTTTCAGATTTTATTGAAATGTAGCGTGAAGGTACAAAAAATGGCAAGGGAAATGAAAATATATGCTATGCTACTTTTTTGCATTTCATGTCTCTTGCTCTATAAAGATGGAAGCATTTCGATTAACCATTTCTGTAGCAGCTGCAAACTCCAAAAAACGGAAAATCTTGGAAACCTGAATGTAAAATGTGATTCATAGAAAGACGACCATAAATAGAATGTACTTGTTTCGCTTGTTTTTTGTTTCACATGAATATTCACTTCCCTTTACCAGGAAGGTCTGAGGGGAGAGGTGGTGATGATGTGCATCACGACAACCCTTTCGTCCCTTCTTGATAAACGGTTCGTCGCTCGGCTTGCCAGCTTGACCCTTCTAAGGTGTTCACTATATTTCTTTGGCCCTCTTGAAGTGACCTGCATCCCACTATGATTTACTACAGAGATGCCCGAAGGTGGTGGATTAATTATCTGAAAGTATAGAAACATGCGCCTCCTTAAATAATAAAACATAATAAAACATAATAAAACATAATAAAACGACCCACTAAAGCACCACACATGAGATCATCTCTAGCCTGCCAGTGAAGGGCCAGAATTCTAGCCAATGTCAGAGCAGTGAGTGATCGGGAGCGAGCATGGCTGCCGAAGAATAGCGTAAGCTTCCCCCCTTTGCTGAACACTTTCAACTGATCTTATAAGATCAACCTCATAGGAGTCTTATATGGAGCTGTGATACTCTAGGGATGGCAGGCCCAGGGCTATCAGAGGCACCTAAGTGAGCTATGGCCTGTTTCGCTGGACACGCAAAGTACAAAACCCAGTGTTCCGCACATTTTGGACAAAACTGACGACATGCTGTGTGAAGAAACATAGCTGCTTGTTTATAGCAGCCCTTGTCGATGTTGTTCTGCAAATCTTTGTGGTTTCCGGGGTCACCTGATAAGCAGCACCACCATCAGGTCAACCGTAACAGCAATGGAGTCGTTTGGAGGGAGGCATTATCACGATTAATAAGCATGCTGCGAACAACTGGACTGAGCACACCGTCCCGTCAAACAGTTGAGCACTTGGACCACTGGAAATAGTTTCATGGTATACACTGCACTCCGAGCGACTGAACTTGAAGGCTTCTAGTATGCACACATTTAATTAATTCTAGTGTTAATGAGCACCAGTGGCTCGCTGGGTAAGTCGTAGGACTCGGTCACGGAAGCCGGGCAGCACGCACAGTATAGCAGCACCTTGCCAAGCTTGTGGGAGGTTCCAGCTCCAGGTTACGGCGTCGCTAAAAGGGTAATCGGAAAAATACCACGAGCAGCACAAATCTAGAGTTCTTAGCACGATCCTTTCCGTAAGTAGCGTGCTCCACTGTATCAATTGACAGGGTGACCGCCATAAACCGAATCTTGCATCCTCGTTTTACATACCGATAGAACTGACGTGGGATGCGTCTCAGGGAGTGAGTGAAGGTGAAACAGGTCAATTGGAGCCAAGTACCCATTTTGAGAATCATACTGCGAGTTGACACAACGCAAAAGGCTCGCGTCTCGCAGCGTCGCTTGTAGAAGCACCATTCGGAGAGTCTGCACACTGTGAAGGTAAGAGCGCGTTCACATTGAAGAGCTCATCATTGAAGGTGGCTACTCAGGTTTTAAGAGCCACTGATCGTCGCAATCGCACTACGAAGACGCCGCGTTGTCGTAGATTGTTTTTCACCAGCTTGGTCATGTAAGGCTGAGGCCAGGGCTGGGGGATCTGTCGCCGGAAACGTGAAGGAACCAAGCAAACGACGTGAGGCCCACTGACTCAGTTCCTGGGTGTCGACGACGTCCGAGCAACCCTAGTGGGGTCCTTGCTTCCAAGAAGACTGGAGATTCTTTCCGGCGGGCCCATAATATCCAGACAGCATGCTTGTGGCTGATGCGGATCGCAGGAGGTGGATAACAGGACAACCAACGCACGAGTAGGTCGAGTACGGCCGGCACTCGAGAAAATGGTGGTCGCCGCCATGTTAATATGAAACCAAGTCAATTGGCCAAGCTTCAGTTTAGTACACAACGCACTACAACCTGGTTTATTACAAATAATTATATAAATGTTAAAAAGCTTTTTGTATTTGAACGTTCTAATTTCCGTCGACTAAAACAAGCACGTTCACGTTGCGTCAAATGAGCTTGGTCGGAACCAACGTTACTACAACACTCAGTTGGGAAACTCCCATAGAGACACCTTTAAAAAAATTGCCCCAATCTGTCCCCGAGCACCGAGCTGATGACGAACACAATGCACACCGTTTCTCCGGCAGCGGCCACTCGAGGAACTGCACATGACTTCTATTTTGGCTTTGAGAACAGATGCCACACCCGTCACCCCAGCGGACGCGCCGCGTTCAACTGCCGAAGGTAAAATGCACCTAGGTCGGGACGTGCTACCTGAAAGGCCCGCTGAGGCATGGTTGTATAAAAACAATATTAATTGTTCTGCAAAACCTTGCGAACTAAAGATGATAAAAACATCACGCGCCCATCATTTGGTACTAAACTCCAATAAATTTCATACAAAAAGAGTCTTTTCCGTTTGTTTTTACGCAAAAGCAGGCTTTCAAAAAAGCTCGAGGTGACCATAGTACAGACAAACGAAAAAGAGTGGCGCTGTTGTCGCATTTAGCTCGGTCTCGGTGGACGCCAGCGGCCCAGGTTTCGACGGCGAGTTTCCGAACTGAGTGTTTTATTAACGTTGGTCGGAACCAACGAGCAACGACTATCGCCGCATCTCCATCGCCATCGTATCAAAACACAAAAACACAAAGCGAACGGGTGCTTTCAGACTTTCGGAAAAAAAACATCGAAGAACGTTCTTAGAAAAAGGAAGTGTCCTAGGTGCCGGCGTGCCCATGGAACCAGCTGTGGATTTGAGTCTAATTGGTGAGTGCTCGCCGAGTTTTACTTTTTCAGTCCTTTCTGTTCGGAGCGTTTCTGACGTGTTGTTGTGTGTGCAGTCGGCGTGAAAGCGAACGTGTGCGGTTCCTGGCCGCACACGTGCTTTCCGCATTGGATGGCCTTCGAGCTTTTTCCAAGGAAGTCCCGGAACCGACCTGTCCCTGACCGAGCAGTCAGATTGCTGGAACGCACCCAGAGCCAAAGGTCCCACCGGAGGCAGGCGGGCGGGCAAGCGAGGCACCTGGTAAGTGTATCAGGGAGCTTTATCTCGTAGATCGGTGGACAAGGCTTGATTTCTGCAACTCGGGTGGCGGCTTGGTAC